CTCGAAAGTTAACTTTTGTAACAGGATAAAATCATGCATTTCAAATAATGAATTCATTAGCTAAAATGCTGAAGGTATGGATGTGGTGAAACACTCATCTACGCCTATATTCACATACGCACCCACACCAACTCTAATCCTGAAAGCCTTAATACATTTAGAAGTCTTAGCTGTTCAATGTGAACTTATAAAGAGAAAGATACAAAGGGCGTGCAAAAATTCTCTATAGATTCATTCATATATCTTTACCTGGAAATACTTTTTCCAAATACCAAGACAATATCCAATAGAACATACAACTAAAAATCATTATAATCAATGTTGGAAAATACATTGGTACATGACGATAAATCGTTTGAAATACTGATATGTCTTTTTTTGCTAAATCATGTAAAATTGCTTGCTTGAAACACAAAAAACAATATCTTAATTCAATTATCAAAAAATTTAAAAGAAAATCCTCACTTGAAATAATGAATGTCCAGCAATATAAGGACTAAAAAATATTAATACATATTGTATAGCTGTCGGCCATACAATACTATATGGAAAAACAATTAATGATATCATGTAAATTAAAAATGTACCCAATATTGCACGAACATTTTTATCAAATAATTGTACATTCATTATACAAAATGATATTAATTGTAAACTGAATATTAAATAACCAATAAAGAGAATACCAAAATTCACTGTATTAAAATATGCATCTGGTTTTAATTTTAATTTATATACAATACATAAGAGTAGAGTTAAAAGAAAAATAATAATAAATGTTCTATAAAAAAAAATGATTTTTTTTTTATTAAAAAAATTCTTTCATTTTTTTTTACCGAATAGCTTGAGCAAAATTATTTAATATAGGTTCAATTCCAAGTACTTTCAAAATTTCTTTAACTTTAGCATTTTTTTCTTGAATTAAACTCATTAGAAGAATTATATATCTAATAAATAAAAAAACGAAATAATTTTATTGACTTTCTATTGTTTTACTTACGGAATAAGAAAGATAAAATCAATCAAAATCAAAATTGTTGTAGGAAGTATTGATCCAGATTCTTAATAAGAAAAAAAAACAACGAAAATCAATATTTTATTCGAATTGATATTAATTTCAACATACCAAAAAGTGAATCTCTACGAATCGGTGTACAAGTCATAGGACTTCTTTCAAGTTCGAACTCAACTGTTTTATTTGTCTGATAATCGATAAGTAATGAATCAATAAACATTTTGACATCAGTAAATTCAGGTAATTCCGAACCTTCTCGATTATCACTATCCGTTATATTTGATCGATCGGGAATCAAAGCTAAAAAGAAAAATGAAATTTCATCTTATTAAATAATATAAAAGTTATATGGATATACTTGGATGTAAGAATGATATAAATGACATATCAACTGGTGTATTTTTTGTAAAAACATTCGACGTTCGAACAATTATGTTATCTAAAAAAAAAATCAAATGAATCATAATCATCATTCACTTTTTTTTGTATTCATTAATTATTTTACTACTAACAATCAAGATTATGTTCATTTTTCAAATTTGATGTTGAACCAAAATCAATAATAATTGTATTTTCGTTTTCATCTTGTAATAAATAAGTTTCATTTCCATCATTTATAATTTGATCCCTTTGAATCAAAATTATTCTTTATTATATGATTAATATGTGTATATATGTGAGATTAACTTACCATATTTTAGTATTATCACAATTCATTTTTGTCAGACGTATTTCAGCAAGTTTAACGAGTTCTTTAGTTTCATTTGTCATTGGTTGAAATACAATATTTGTTCTATTTGAAATTGTATTGAAATATAATGAAGGCCATTCACGTCTTTTATAACTTGGTGGAAATTTAAAACATTTCGAAAATAAATCTTTTGATAATGTTGTTTTTTTTGTTGTTGTATTCATATTTTGTGAACAAAGAGAATGACCAAAACTTGTGGATAACAAATCAGGATTTGTATTCATTTCTCTGATAAGTGAATTTGTTGCATAACGAGCTAATGCTAATAATGCTATTATAATCAGAGGAAATAATAATTCACAAAGTATTGTTGGACAACATCCACAACATCGTTGTCGATATGAATAACGAAGTGAACGTTGAAGTAATAAATTAAGTTTATGAGATGAACCAATGGAAGAATATTCAATTTTAGTTAACTTTTGATGATCGGTTTGATTTTCCGACATTGGATATTCCATGGTAATATGCATTGAATTTTTATCTAAATTATATGAACGTGATTTTGTTTTTACTTTAATGGTATAATCATCATTAATAAACATTTGTAATGAATCTATGATTTATAAATGATAAGAAAAAAAAAGACGAATATTCTCGAAAATAGAACCATATTTTTATTCAATAGAGCAATAGTTACTTTGTATTATTCCTGATGGTGTTTTTCTCAGTGAATCAGAGTCATGTATTTTATTCATTTATTTATTCACAATAAATATCAATGAATAATTTTCTATGAAATAGAAAAATAAGATTTTGATCTTCTCTGTGAATATAATAAATTATTTTAATTGATTATCAATGTATGAATAATTCTAATCTTTTTTTCTGATGTTATTATTTATTTACAATACCTAAAAGAAGAATTTCAAAACAGAATAGTGCGTCTGCATTAGCAGATGTACATTACTTAAGAAATAATTTTCGTTTTTCTCAATGATACGTGCAAAAAAACGAATAGAAATAAACAAGTAACTAAAAAGTCAATGACTTACATCAATTATTTAATATAGTATGGTGTCCTACGCACTTTTCTCTCTCATACTCTCTGTATATTACTCAAATATCGGATTTCATAAATATACATTGATAAGCTAATCAAACAGCAATGAAAAAAAAAAGCATCCGAGGTTAAAATTTCATATTTATCATGTTGACAAGAATTAGAACTGACATTGAAGTTATGTTTATAGTGGAACAAGTTTATTTTATTTTTTATTTGGATCATTTGAGATAAAATACTAATTATACATAATTACTTTTTCGAGACAAGAATTGACGTAAGTAAATAATGAAAGTCAAACATAGGCATTATTTTAACAAACAATGCAACTGTTTATATTTTACTTAATAGATAATCGTAAGAGAAACAAAAACGAGCATAACTGTTTTGTTTCGATTTGATTTTTTATTTCTCGGAAGAAATTATTATATAAAATTTTTTTTTTCAAAATCAAATACCACACCATTATCGAATCGTTCTGTGTTATATATAAATATAGATATTTGACAATGTGAACATTCTATAAATAGTTGTCATATGCTGATATAGTTTATTATTGGATGTATATCTAATACTTGAAAAAAAACTATTTCCTCAAGTTTTTGTCATTTTACAAATATACAAAATGACAGGACATCTGATATATATTTTATTCCAAATTTTATTTAATTATTCTCGACATAGAATTTTATATGCAGAACAAGTAATAACTAAATACTTACCTTCATTAGAAGACTACTCTTGTTATAGAAACAATAATGTGAGCATAATTAGAAGATTTGATATATTCGATTTTGTCGAAAATTCAGCCCTTTAGTTAGTTTATTAACATCAAAATATACTTAGTTATCAAGATTTTGAAGCCAAAAATTGTAAAAAGGCTAAGATCAACATTATATTTCAAAACTCTACAAATCTCTTTCTAAACACTCAAAAGTCTTTTGGAAAATTCGTTCAATGGAAAATTAGGAAAGTACATAAGCTAAAACAGAAGATGAGAATTCTTCTATTGCATACAAAGGTTTAAAATATTGTTAACGAAGAAATATGTGCAATTCCTGCAATCCATACTCTGATATATATATATGAATCTTCAGGAAACTAAGAATGATCTACTATTGCTTGGATGTTTGTCATTTTCTGTCTTGAGCTCTGAGGTTTTTACAATGTCACTATCATTCTAGTGATGCCTAACTAAAGAAATGAAATATTCTTTCAATATATTATAACAATGCCGAATATTCGTAACAATATTTCGAATTTCTAAGACTCTTATAAATGAAGAGCTTTGAGTTTAAAGTTTCAGCTCTTTCAATTAAACCAAGAAGAAATGCAGACAGATTTATATTGAGTGAAAGAATAGTATTGAATTTTTTTAGATCAATTCAAGATCTATTCATGGTCAATATATGAAGTTATATAATATCCGATAGTTTTGAATAATGATTTCTACTTTTACGGCTCATATTTTTCCTCAGATTGTCATCAACATTGCACCTTTTAAATGATAAAAATGAAATTCAAAGCTAAAGTAATAATTATTATAAAATCAACTAACAAACATAAATGCAATAAGAATAAAAGTACTGAATTTCAAATTCCATTTCGACCTCATAACTAAATTATCGATTAGAAGATGATCGATTAACAATAACAAAAAAAACATAATTTACGATGATTTGGAATCATTGATTCAGATTCAATAGATAGAAATGTAAGCCCATGCATCCGTCTGTGGTGATGGTGGCTGAAAATGCAAAAACTTCTTTTGGCTTTCAATGGCAGCAGCCGACAAGTTTTCGAAGCTTTTTTTAAAAATTTCTCTTGCTTCGTGAACTTTTGGATTCAAAAAGCGGAGCAAATGTTGGTGGAGAGCCCAATAATAAGAAACTAGTCAAAAACATTCCTGAAAATTCATCAAACGACTGTATAAATATCAATTTGCATTGTTAATAATTAGATTTCTATTATTTGTTACAATGACTTTTTTGTAGACACAATCACAGTTAAAACAAAGTACGAAAAAATATATTTGTTCAAGGCTGACCCAAAGCGATTAATTTTAGGGAATGTTGCAACTTTTTCAAAGGAAGGAATAAAAGTTTTTCTTTTCTCTTGTAGAATGCAAGAAAAATTTTCGATTCTACTTAGTGAAAACGAAAATTTTCTATTACTGGGAGAGTTACACACTCCTCTCTCCTAGTCAAGTCAACCCCACATTAGTCTTTGTTCTAAGATCCAAATTCAGATGTATGTTCGTCAATTGGTTTAAATGAATAACTTCCACGACCATCCATATATAAGCAATACTAAAATATTTGAAAAAATGATTTTTTTTTTCTTTCTTAAAAAATTCATTTTACTTCATGATATTTCCATAAACTTTTTCGATGTGAAACAGTAAATAAAGTAATACCAGCCTTAAATATAATTTAATTAATAAATGTAATTTTTCTATTTATAAACACTTACTGTTCGACAATATTCATACATAAATCCTTCAACATCAACTGAAACTGCACTTGTACATTCATCAAGAATAGCAAATTGAGGTTTATGATAGAAGAGACGTGCCATCTTAATTAAAAAACAATTAAGATTTTGAATTTACAAAATAAACATTAACAGAGTTAGAATTCAGAATAATAAATTTTCATATTCAAAATAGAGCTGGATTGCTTTAATATATACCCTTGGGAAAAAACATTGTTGTCTAATCATTTGCAAGACTTTTTCTCAGAGTACCAAAAAGTAATTATCTTTCATAGGCGGGTAATGATGATAGTATCTGATGTCAATCAAGATTATCATGAAGAATCTACCAAGGCAAGCAAATTTTTGTCTTAAAAAGATTAGCAGAAGATTCTATGACTTAGCCAAGGCCACTGATACCGACACTGTGAGAGAAAAAGTTATACGAATTAGAACTAAAAAATTAAAGAGAAATTTTCTATAATTTTTAGCGAACTATGTTATATATCACAACAATCAAAGCAAAATTCAGAAGAGATAAGGAAAAAATTAAAAAAGAATTCGTTTCTATATACCATTGAAGCCGAATTATGATCGTTCTACTGAATTTTCAATCCTGCCTTGGGCACATACTGAGAAGTTAAAAATTAGAATTTTGACTAGAATTTTCCTCATAGATAAGTCGAGTAGTCCTTAGAAAGTGTTGGAAATGTTAACCAAAAAGAGTGTTCTTTGGTTGAGATATCAAATTTCTAAAAGCTGATCGCTTGTCACAGATATGATGCGAAAATAAATTTCACTTGACAATTCGTTATCTCGATACAGAAAAATATCCTTTTCTGCTAACACTTTCAGAAAAGTCTACAGATCATTCAATTTATGTGTGGACGAAATGTTGTTTTTTGATTTTCAAGTAAATAGCTATAGATAGGTCAAAAACTCAGTTTAACGATGATAGCTCGGCTTGAAAAGCTCATGGGGACCAATCACTTTAGACTTCTGTTAGTCTCCCTAAGGCATTCTTGTAGGCTTAATATGAACTCAAACAGCATGTATCAGTTCAATGTTGCTTCACTTTATTAAAGACTTCAAGTATTCATATTAGATCATAATAATAATCAAAACAAAACCCGAGAATATACGTTCTAATTTTATAGTGAAGAATTTTGATTAAAGTAAAATATAAAAAATAAGATTGAAATGAATACTTACAGCAATACGTTGTTTTTCTCCACCTGAAAGTACATCCATCCAATCTTGTACACCATCAAAACCTCCTTCTCGTTGTACTAAATATGTTAATTGAACTTTATCGAGTAATTCATTTAAATTATCATCTTTAATTCCTTTACGACGCATATCACCATGTGAATCAGGATAAATAATTTGATCACGTAATGTACCAATAGTCATATATGGTTTTTGAGGAATATAAAACAAATGTCCACTACCTGGTTTTGTTAATGTTCCACTTGCAAGTGGCCATAACTATTATAAATAATAACAAATATATATGATTTAATGAATTATATTATTATTTACTTCACCAATTGTACGAAATAAACTTGATTTTCCACATCCATTTGGTCCAACAACAATAACATTTTGACCTGATCGTACTGTAAAATTAAGATTTTCAATTAAAACATCACCTATAAAATAAATTTTTTTTTATGTTATAAAATAATTTATATCTATAAATTTTCTTATTACCATTTGGTGTCATAAGTTTAACATTTTCAAATCTAAATATCAATTTTTATTTTCATTTTTATCAATAGATTTTTCTTTTCTTACTTTATAATTCCATCTTGTGTACGAATACATTCTTCATCGTTTTTCTTGTCAATTGTAGTATTATTAATTCCAGTACGAACATAATTACCTTGATTGACATCTGATAAAACTCCAATTAAATCTGTAACACGTGTTGTAAAACTAATCAAGATAAATCAAACCTAATGTTAGATATTATTTATTGGAATTCTTATTACCCGGCTAATTTTGTTAATTCACGACCAGCAAGAACCTATAATCAATGATCTTTTCAATTAAATGATGACAATATAAACCTCTTACCAAACGACCCACAGCTAGAAATATAGAAGAAAAAGAATAGTCTTTGTATCAAATGTTAAAGAAAAACATACCTTCAGCAAGTCGCATAAGCATTCGACCAGATGAATAATAATCCTACAAAAAACAGAATTTAAAATATGGTCTGTACTCAACTTCGAGTTTGACTTGAGAAGAGTTGATATTAGCCTACTCAAGTACAGCATTTAAGCTACGGATTGAATTTTAGACTGATTATTTTCTAACAGAAAACAATAAATAACTGAAATTTAGATCTTTCATTTAACTAGGTACATAGAGAACAAAAATCTAAATGCTTACAGGCCTGTGAGGCGTTCAAGTTTGTAGCCCTATAGATCAACAATCCTTTTGCGAAGCACTATCTAAAGCAGTATTGAAGTATATGAGTTAAAATTTGATCTATCTCTAGACTGTGACAAGCGTTGATATATGATCCTTTTTTCCATAATTTTAAGCATCTAACTCTGATGGCAACATTTCCAAAAACGAACACGGTAGTTTTCAGGTCTTCGAAAACCATTTTTTAGTAAAGAGCATACAATCAAAAACAAAATGAGAGATTGCCGTATGTTTTGCTACCTGCCATTAAAAATTATTTCATAAACTGTAAAATTAACGAAATTTATCACAAAATATTAAAACTATGAGAGAAAATTAAAAAATACATTGTTGTTGAGCTATTTCTCACTATTGACTATAGTTTTTACCTCTAAAATTTCGTTGTATGTACTATTTGCATATCTTGTATTCATTGGATCTAAGAATGGTCGACTGACAACATAATATCCAACACATGTTGATACATCTATATATATATACATATAAATCAATTAAAATTTCAAATAATTCAATAGTCTTACATTTAGCAACAACACTATCGATACAACCCATAACTAATCGAAAGATGATTAAACTTCTTAAATGTTTAATCTTAAAGAAAATAAATATTCAAATTTGTTTTATTGTTTTTGCAAGAAAATAAACTATACCAATCGTTCAAAACCATCACGTATAATCATTTTTTCTCGACGACTACCATTATAAAATGCAATTTCTTCACAATTAGTTATTAAACGTGAATTAACATAACGAAATTCACCTTCAAATTGTTGTTCAGCAACTGTCATATGTCCAATAGGACGACGTAATCTTTTTATTTTTTGAAAAAATAAAAATTCATTCTATTGATCATTAAAATATTTTACCTTGTTAAAACAAGACCCGAACAAACTAAATAAAGTACTAATAAAGATGGTCCACTTGGACCTATTGATCCTGAGAGTTTTCTTGCGTAAATAATTATATCCAAAAATGGCTAAACAAAAACAATATACAACTTTCTATGTTAGAAAAAAAAAAACAAATATTAAATTTTAAATACTTTAGAAATATTTGTATAAAGATCGGCAACACTTGTACAAAATTTTTCAACATCTTGTGTTAATAATTGATCAATATTAGAAATACGACTATCAAGTGTATTAATTTGATAATAGGTATATCCTCTTGAAAAATAAAAAATAAAATATTTTTCTTCATATTTATTTCTCATTGATAAATATGGGCGCATAAGATAAAAAATCTGCCCATTACTTAGATCATTAAAGTTTTCAGAATTTTACGTTGAGTCGTTATGTATTATCGATATCGTGAGATAACTTGTTATAACTTTCTACAACAATTTTTCTCAAATAATGGAGATCCATAATATCTCTTTATATAACACTCTACAGCACTTACGATACGGTTTCGTGCTTTGTTTGACATGCATTGAGCAGATTTTTAGTCAAAAGTTACCATTGGAATCAAAACTAACCAGAGTCCCGCTCAGGATTCAGTGAAAAAATAAATTCTGCGAAAATGTTGTTCAAACATTCATTTTTCCACTAGACCCTGAGAAATATCTCGGCTGAATTTTTCGACGAAAAAATGTTCATGAAAACATTTGAAATCAACACTGCATTAAGTCATGCATAAAACTTAATAATCTAAGTAATGGAGAAATTAGTGATCTTATGGGTGTCCCATCTTTTCGTACTTGAGATATTGGTCATATAAATATAATGATAAACGTTTTCGAAAACGTAATTTAAGTTCTTCAAGAGTATACTATATAAAAATTAAAGAATTACATTTGACTTCAATAACAATTCAAAACATACTTTAAGAGCATTATTAACCAATGCAATCTAAAAAATCAAGAAATAAAATTGTCAAATATATTCATTTTTATATTTTTTTTTATTACCCATGGCATTGCATAGGCAAATCTACCAAGACATTCTTTAAATAGAACTGAACTTCGTCCAATAATAGCACTTTCAACAGATGTACTATTTTTAATCATCCACACATCAGCATAAGTACGTGCTACAAGTGATGCAGCAACCAATACAAGGAAAAGACTCTAAACCCAATATATAAGAGATTATATATAGTTTTCTTTTGGAAAAGATTTTACTTCGCCACAGAATACTTTTGGAACAAGTATTTTAAGTAAAATAATAAGCTTCCTAATATGAAGGAAAAGAATTAATTAGTAGAATCAAGGGTGGTTTTTTTTTTCTTTTAGATTTTTCGTACCGAAAAAAATTCTTGTCAACAGCAACATTTCGATCTTTCTTCGCTAGATGCTAAACAAAAAAAAAATTTAATCAAATTATTCTTTTGTCTTCTACTCTAATGAAATGTGAATACGTACAGATTTCATAGACGAATTGATATCTTTTGCTAATAGTCTAAATCATAAAATAGAATTTTGAATCAAAATTTCTATACGAAATAAAAATAACTAACTGTTTAGATCGTTCATGGAGCCATTTGACTGTTACCCAATAAGATAAAGCCATGGATGATGCTGAGAAAAAAAAAAGAAATAAAATTTATAACATAGAATTAATTATATTATACCTAACACAAAACCATGACGATAAACAGCAGGTAATTTACTCATACCAGCCATCGTAAAACTTAATCTAAAATATTTATCTTATTTTTACAAACTTCTCAAAAATATTCATCATATTTCATTGTTTCCATGTGTGTAGTTCTACGAAATAGAAAAATGTTTGATCTAATAAACAAAATTTTTCATGAAAAACTTTTTCTGTTCTTCTTTTCTTTTTTAAACAAAAAAAAAACAATGTGCGTCACAAATTCTATTTCATTGGACTCTGCCACTTTTGACATAAATATAAATAAGTGATATCATGGTTCCAGAATGCAAGGAATAAGTTATTCAAGATAAAGTAATCGTAACATATGAACTATTTTAGTGTACCTAATTTTGTTTAAATAAAACGAGCATGAACTTCTGCATTTACACATTTAATATTATTTCATATTCAGAAACATTGTTTTTTTTTCAAATTATTAATAAATTGAACAAACACTATTTACAACATTTAACATAGAATAAATACTCATTTTATTAAAAGTAAAATGAAATAGTAATATGCATCTATAGTACGTGACTTAATATGTTGTGACAACAAAAAAAAACAAACTTTTGAAGTTTATTTTAAGAATTTAAAATAGCGATAATGATTAATATTAGATATTTGTGTAATGACGACATAAATTTTGTTTTCTCGTCTTGTCATAGTATTAATCGAATCTACTGTATACAGTAGAATACTAGATATTATTTTTCTTTTCATTGAAAACTCGAACCTCTTGAAAAGCGTAACAACTCACATTCATCGATTGGATGACTTCAACATCGATTGATCGGTTGGGAAGGTAATTAAGATGACTCATCATCATGTTAGACTGGATAAAACATGCTCACTCACGATCGACTATTGACATGTATGAGGACGCCACAATCCAAAAGACAGAATACAAAAAAAAGGACGTTGTACATTTATATGTTCCACGAGTCGTGCAATCAAAATAGGGTTAAGTTGGATGGCAATGGCGACTAACCATGCTGTAGATTATAAAGAGAACAGTTTATCTAAGGAAATAAAAGCAAGTTGAATGGAAATCATTCGCGTTCTCTTTTTAATCTTGACTTGATTGAGCATCTTAGGATTTCTTTCTGCAGAAAAAAAAGGTGTAAATGCGGCTTTTGTCTTCTCTCATACACGATAGTTCGTATTTATTTTCTCTAATTTCTTCTCTTATTGATTATTTAAACTTATCTTACACTGTTGTTGTATCGTCTGCAATTTTAAAGTCAAAGAAAGGCACTGACAACCCGCTAATACAATTTTTAAAATTAACTAAAGAAAATGTAAGAATTCGATTAGTCAAGTGTCAACTACGAAGTAATAGTAATGGAAAGCACCTTACGCATTTATTTTTGAAGTTGCAAATAAAATAACCCATCTCTACTGTGAATATGAAGATGGTACTCGGTAAAAACAAGTTCAAATTATAAAGTCTATTCGATTGATTCAACAGAGTTCCAATTGTCGAATGCTTTGAAGTCCCAGTTAAGCTGTAGTAATCATGATAATATTTTAAAAAATTGATTATGACGACTTTATTACTTAGTTCAATATTCATTCTTAATACTGATGATGTAAAATGTCTGTCGTCCGGAGATTAAAAGTACACGAAATACGTGCAACACTATTCTTAAAAATATCGCATCATTGATGTTTAGCAGATTTTTAACTTTTGTTTTACTCATCAAGATCTATCTATCCTAAAAATATCAGACATTTCTAATGAACTATTCTTCATAATCTGAAGAAAGAGTTAGAGGTCTTCTTAAAATAGATCTTTGTTTGATAAAATGATTCGAAACGGTTTTATCAAAACTCTATGATAAATAAAATTGTTTAGAAGCAAATCATCTTTAAAATAATTTGTCTACTTAAAGACAAACAACAGTCATATATACAGGGAACATATGGTTGAAAATTTCAGGAAAGACATATTTCGGTTTTGGAGAGTTCATTTTCAAAAAAATTTGTAGTATTTGATGCTTTTTTCCATGTGATGTTTTAGAAAGAAAAGTCATAATGAATATTTTATAGGCGATTTTCTTTTCATGTATATAGACTCAGTTGCCTTTTAAGACATCTATGGAAAAAAAGAATTCAGTAGAAACGATCGTCCAACAATCTGAGTCGAGTATCGTATATATAGAAAAACCAACGTAGGAGATGACGGAAAGTCACTATATGCCGAGCTTGTATGAGACAGTTTTTTATTTTTTTGTTTTATCTTACATATCCATCAATATTACTTAGTTTTGTCAAAATGATTAATATCAATTCGATTGAGTTTGATAGCAATATTTTTGTTCGTTTTATGTAAAAAGAAAAAAACACTATCATGCATTTATATTTCTATTCTGAAACAGAGATTTATATTTATTTATTTTGTAATAGTTTACTATTGTTAAAATATGCTTTAGCTCGATATCTTAACAAATTTTGCTCATGATGTATGCTTTAGTTAGTCAAAAATAAATTAGTCTCTAGCAAGACTTTGAAAATGAGAAAAAAAAAACGAACATCATAAAATACACAAACACAGATGTGAATAGATAATTTAATAAACGATTTTTAAACACCAATACATCCTGATACTAATTTTCTCCAAGTTTTATTTGAATGTGTACGATGACGTGTTCGTTGTTTATTATTTGTTTGATTTTGTTGTTCAATTAATGGTACAATAGATGTTGATGGAAGTGGTAATGTTACATTGGCATCACGAAAATCAAGTGCTGTTATAACAGCTGTATCAAAAACAATTTTTAAATTTTTTTCTGTTAATGCTGAACATTCAATATAAGTACATGCATGTATTTGTTGTGCACGTGCACGTGCTTCTTTTTCTGTCACCGGTTTTAATTTTTGTTGATCAAGTGTTAATAATGTTTTTAAATCAGATCGTAAATCCATTTGTGTACCAATAAGTATAATTGGAATATTTGCATTGGAACGACGAGCACGTGATAACCAATATGTTACTGCATTTTGAAATGATTGTGGATTAACAACACTAAAGCAAAGTAATACTACATCACTATATGGGATACAAAGACCATGGAGAGATGAAAATTGTTCCTAGAAGTATATCAATCATGTCTTTGTTTATGATTATTATTGTATTCTATCTATTTACTTTTCCTCCTGTATCGCATATATCAAAATGGACAAGTCGAGTACCTACAGAAACATCAACTGAATAATTATCAAATGCTGTAGGTACATATTGTGTTGGAAAATCGTTTGTTGTATAACTAACAACTAATGAAGATTTTCCAACGCCACTATCACCAATAATAACACATGTGATATGACCACCTGTATGATTTGCATTTATTGATGATGATGGTACAATTGGAATAGATAAACTTGATGATGATATTGTTGTTGACGATGACATTAAATCAAAACAATGTGGAGTCATTTTCTAAATATAAATAAAGTTGATTTTATATAATTATTATAAAGAGAAAGCAATATATAAATTATATATAAATGAGAAAATTTTTATAGCAAATCTCAAGGTTTAGAGAATATTATATCTTATGCTGATAAATGATATGGATTGTAATGTGTTAGGATGAATGTGCAGAAAAGAGAAGTCAAATGGCAGACATTGTAAAACTTTCGTTATAGACAAAAGTAACTGTTACTGTCTGTCAAATAAAAGAAAACCATAGATCGAGCGCATCCTTGTCAATGATATTCGATGATAATGATATTTTCTCAAACTGCCGCTAAATTACATTTGCTATAATACCTTTCGAAAGTTTTGTTTTGCCGATTTTATTGACATCGTACAGGATATTGAATGTTGATTGTTGTTTACTAATAGTGCCAACAATAGATGATCTTTAGACGATAAATAAATAGAAGAAAAAGAACTTGCTTGTCATCCATGCTCTTTCTCTCTATTTGTCGAGCATCTCGATTAGAGATATTTCTTATCGTATATCATCATCTGGTTTCTTTTACTCTATTCTTGCTTATCCTGACAACAACAACAAATGAGGAAAAAAACCGAATGGCGATCTATCTTTCTTATTCTTCGTCTATCTTTCTTCTCGTTTTTTATATATATATCTACAGAATCATTCATTCATAATCTTTTTTTCTCCGTTCTTGATTTGTTCTCAATAAAATAATAACTGGTACTGACAACAAACGAAGAATAAGAGAAGACACTTAACAACACACAGACTGTTTTGATTAGCATATAAAGAGCAGCCGGATTCGATCAAAATGCTCTACTTATTTAGTTAGACAAAGAAAATGATCCCTGATGTATAATGATATAGACAAATTCTTGTCAATTTTAGTTTTAACATATAAAAATATATCAAATAAAAAGTTAAAGTCGTTTACTCACATTGGCCGTGATTTTTAGTATTGACAGAACAGAATATGTATGTATATATTGATGTAATGGTTACGGTGGGAAATCAGTTTTTTAAAGGTGTAACAGAGCAAAAAAAAAGAAGAGAGACAGAGAGAACGAGAAATATAAAATAATCACTTCTTTTTTTCTATTGAGGTTGCGGTTGTCGTTACCTTTGCGTCTTCTCAAGGATCAAATACGAACAACGAAAATTATTTTTGTTACGTCATTCTTACTTCTTTCTTCCACTCTTTAGGGTCTATCACACACGCGTATAGAACGAAGAAGAAATGTGTAATGATTTTTGATTTACCTGACGTATGTAAATATACAATCCATCTTGCCTTGGCAATATTGATCGATACGATCAATAATAATTATTGTATAAAAAAAACAGGAGAACGTCCAATAAACATAAACATGCATTGATAAAGAAAAAAAAAAAGAAAAGAGTACAGTTTTTTAATAGATAAGCATCAGAACGTTGCTAGTCACACTTCATCAAGTCAAGGTAAATGAGAGGAAAAAAAATGAAAAAAGAAAGAAAGGGCAAAAGTAGCATGACTTATTACTAAAGCCTAATGAAGAATAAGTGCAATATTCATTTGTGTTCTTTTCCGTGTCAACTGTCCTTCAGTCGTTTTTTTTTTTCTTTTTTTAATAAACTATTTAAGTAATGAACGAAGATGAAAATCTAAGATAGATATTGAATGCTAATCAATCACATCAATGTTTAAGAACAAGCAAAAAAAAGCAACTTACTATCTTCTTGGATCTGATGTATGTCTTTTTTTTGTTCTCTTCAATACAAAACACGAGGAAAAAAAATTTCTTTTAAACTTTCTTCATTGCATTAATATTCATAATTGTTCTCTCAATCAAGAACTATGTCTTTTGTCTTTTTGAAAAATAACAAAAGAAACTTTGTCTATGATCGTATATAAAGAATTACAAAAAAAAAACGAAAATATGTCTGGATATGAATATGATGATTGGCAATTGTACATATAATGAGTCTGAAAATTCTATAGAGATTTGTCGTTTTGGCGTGTTCGATTAAGCATAAGAAAACGAGTGAAGTGACAAATTCATTTTTCTTCTTGATCTACAAACATTACGCTTCAACTATATATAATATATCAACAATACCAGATCGATCAACGATGATGATGTAACTATCAAAATGGCTTAAAGTAAAGACAACGCATAACAAGGCAGTAGTTATTACTCAATAGGTTCTTTGTGATAGATTTTTTATCAGATATTTTCAATTGAATGGATTCATTTTTATTCATTTCTGAGGCAGTCTTTTTTTTTTCAAAAATAGATTACTCATTTATTTTCTTTTAATAAATTCCATTTTCTATATTAACTCATAAACTGAATACAAAGAGAAAAAAATGTAGGAAGCAAGGTATGAATATATGAAGTACTATATAAATTATTAAAAAAAAAAAAAAGTTTATTTCAAAAAGGAAACTAGACTCATTCACGCATCTAAAAAAACTCATTTACAATAATGACGGATTCATCGCTTAGTATTCCTACATATGATGGATCTCTGTTATCAGTACGTAGTTCATCTTCATCAGTAGATCGATTACATAAAAAAACAGGCGTTTGCAGGCGGTAAGTAATTCTGTATTGTTTTTTTTCTAGTGAAAAAAAAAAACTTATTTCATCTTTTGTTTTTTGTATAATCATATACAGTCTATTTAACAGCAGGCATATCCGAGTAGCTCATTAGGTGTAAAGTTTCTTTAAATTTGGTAGTATGACGTACCGTATATTCCATTAAAAAAAAAAGAAAAAAATACAGCGAACTAAAAATTATGTTGAAAAACACTACAATATGTATTCCTATTGACAGGTTTGATTTCAAATTGGACTATATCGAAATAATTTAAAGCAATTTATTCAATAAATTTCTATTTTATAGAAAATTTGAATTACAACCAAAATGGAAAAATGGTGAACTCGAATCAAAATATCGATGTTCATCATGTAATAATTATTTACGATTTCCAATTCAATTTGAAACTTGTGGACATTATGTTTGTTCAAGTTGTCTACCAGATATAATACGGTATAGAAATAAATCTTCAATTGATTAAATATATACTTTGTTTAGTGTTGCATCACGTTGCCCAACATGTCAACAACCAATAACGAAAGATAAAATCGTTAATGATAAAGATTTAGAAAAAGAAATTCAAAATTTGGAAGTTTATTGTACAAATAAAGATAAAGGTTGTAGTTGGCTAGGACTATTACGAAATTTTCAAGTTCATATTGAAACATGTGACTTTATATTCGTTGATTGTTTGGCTGGATGTGGTACAAAATTTGAAAGACGTTTTCTAAGTAAACATCAAAATGAAGATTGTGTAAAACGAACAATAACTTGTGATTTTTGTATGCAAAAAAATCTTTATCTCATAAGGAAATTGTTTATAGATTAATATCTTTTTTTATTAATTAAGGTAAGACAAATATTGTATTTGAAGATGAAATTCCTCATTTGAATGTTTGTTCTGAATTTAAAATTCCTTGTCCAAATCAATGTTCAACACAAGAAGTTTCACGTGAACAAGTATTATGTTATTCAATAAGAAAGAAATATTTTTTATTTTTTGCTTAGATGCAAAATCATTTAGATAATGAATGTTTAAAACAAGAAATTCTTTGTCCATTTCATGATTGTGGATGTGAATATCGTGCTAATCGAGCAGCTATTACTCAGCATGTAAAAGATTCACCTGGTATTCATTTAAATATGGCTGGAAAAACAGTTTCAATACAAAAACAATTATTAAAATTATATGAAGAACGTTCAAATGAACAGAACAAATGGATTGAATTATTAGCACGAAAAGTAAATGCATTAGAAAAAACTTATGGACCACAATTTATTTGGAAAATTGATCATTATCAAGTATAAATATTCTCATATTTGAAAAGTGTTTTCTTCTATAATATATTCTTTCTACTAGGAAAGATTTCAAGAGGCTCGTACAAATAAAAAGTCAACTCTATTTAGTCCACACTTTTTAACCAGTCGTCATGGTTACCGTTTAGCACTTTCAATTTGTTTATGGGGAGATGGAAAAGGTAAATAGGTTTCTTTTCTACATGATGACATTTATTTTTATTTAATTTAGTTAAAGGAAAATATGTTTCATTATTTATTTGTATTCATCGTGGTGAATATGATTCTTTATTAGCTTGGCCATTTTCACATCGTGTAACATTTACATTACTTGATCAATGTGAAGATGTCAATAATCGTCGTCATATAATATGTACTGTTAAACCAAATGTATGTAAAGAAAATAAACCATTCTTAGGTCGACCCATAACAGAACGAAATGCAAGTTTTGGATGTCCGAAATTTGTCGATGTGGATACAATGACAAAATTTAATTATGTTAAAGATGATACAATATTTATTAAAGTTGAAGTTGATAATGAAGAAATGATTTTTATTTAAAATTAATGAATAAAAACAAAAACAAGTACTTTTATCTTGCTTACTTATTATTATGCATTGAAATTAAGCTTATGCTATATTGTTCAAGTTTAAATGTAAATAAATAAAAATACAGTGCTTTGCACCGTAATAATCACTGTCATGTTTTAAATGTTAAATTTTATCACCTACTCGATTGACAGACCTAGAGTATACACTATTGATATTAGTCTTTTTCATTAAACTAAAAGTGTCTTCTGACTTGCATAACATTGAAACCAGGCGTAGTACTTTTCTTCTTTTGTATAAATATAATGACAATTGCAATATGATGTATAGAATAAATTTTTAAAGAAAATTAAACAGTTAAATAGACGTTCTTGGATCTTCTATTAAGAGGGTGTGCGTGTGAGTGCAGATCAGATGAACACTTACATTCACATCGACATCCGGATGAATTGTATTCTCTTCTAGAATGAGAGATGGCAAGAAAGAGGTGTATCCTATAAAAAACACCAATACGACACTTTCGGATGTAAAAGTAATAAAAACAACAACATAAAAGAAATAGAAAGAGTAATTTAAATGCAATTTATCCGTCAGAGAACAATGTCGATATGTTTAAAAAAATATTATGTAGACAACATTTACGATCTCAAAACATATGGAGTAAATTAACAAGTTATGTCTACAGCAACTCGAAATTTATAACTGTTGTAATTGTAGAATGATGAATGAAAGAGACATTTCGATATTGTTCAAATGAACAATATTTTTAGTCAGTATGAGATTTTTCCGAGTATTTAAAATAAAATGATTGAACTATTTCATGTCATTTAGATATCAAGAAAAATGGCTTATCTACCACAAAGAGTTATTATATGTAACAAATACACATGAACATTGATTTATTCAGTTTGAGTAGGAATAAAACTCGTCTGAAAATCGGTCAGATCACTAATTTGATAGATACGCCAATCAGTCGAATAATTAAATTCACTTGTAACAGTGTTCAAAATAGGATCTATTTCAATAATTCTTGAATTGTTAGCATCAGCAATAATAATATTTCCGTTTTGCATTTGTGAAGCATCTTGTAACCAATGAACATCTTCGAGAAACATTTTCTGAGTTATTGTAAAACCATCATCTAGAAAAAGAATCTCATTTAGTTTTGTATTACATAACATCCACTCGATGTCATGTTTTTTTATTGATTTAAAACGCTTTATTCCATGTGGACAATTAAGTCCTGAAAGTAAGATTTTTGATTTCCCACTTCGTCGATCTATTCGAACAAGTGAACCTTGATGAAACAGCGTAGCTAAGATATATTCTTCATTCAAAATGATCGCTGAATTAACATGAGTTGTCTGATGAAGAGTAGGATAAGTATAATGATGATGATCAAAATCTCTTGGCACAATTCGTTTTTCACCTTTTGGCGTCATCGTATATTCATGTTCAGTACCATACCAATCGTTCAATATTTCACCTTGTAAATTTATTTGAATAATGGCATCGATACCTGTACTAGTTACTAAAATAGTTTGGTTTTCTTTCATGTAATGAATGCTATGTAAACAATTAAAAACTCGATTTTCGATACGTCGAATTTCAGTACGTGTGTTCAAATCAATGACACTTATATAATTTAAACGATTGTTTGCAATATATAAATGATTGGAATCAATAAAAAATCCAGCAGGTGCATCTAAATCTAACATATAAACAATTTCTTTATTGAACCAATTGATAATTATGAATTTTCCTCCTAATGGAGGTTCAAATCCTTCTCGATTGCCTTCTATACCATCTAAACTTTTTCCTGTACCAGTACTTGAATCTTTTTTATTCGTATGTTTTTTCCAATGTTTTTTTAAAATATAAAATTGATCAGTAAGAAAACTTGCAGCCACATATATAGGATAATTATTGTGTAAGTTTGATGATAATAAAATTCTTCGTTTCATATTCTCGATGCTATCAACTAAATTCGTATCAGTTTCAAATAATATTTGTTCATGTGAAAACAAATTATTGACAACTTTAAAATAATTACAAATCATTACTTTTCGTCTAGGTTCTAAACATGAAATTTGATCATAAATTTGATATTGAGAAGAATCTAATAAAATTTGATTTATTTCCATTGATTGAGAATTATTTTTATTTTCAGATACATTAGGAAACATTGGTATTTCTAAAATATTCAATATTCTTCCATATTTATCTAATAATAGCGATTTAATTAATTCATAGAGTGATAATTCATGTTCTCCAATAAGTACATGTGATATATCAAAATAAACAATATTATTCAATATTAGAAGAATGAAAATCAAATTTGATGTAGATTCCATGTTAATATCAATTGGTATTGGCATTTTCTTACGCAAACATTCAATAGCGTCAGCTATTTTAATTGAATGTGTTACGCGAAAAAAGCTTTTTTGGTAATCTTTTGTATAATAAATATCATCAAACTTCATTATAGTACCAATATTGAAATTGCTGAATATCTCATAACACGATATCATTTTAGAATCCTGTTCAATAAAATCATCATTTAATTTGTTGATATAGTTTTGCATATCAGAAATGAGTGTCAATCTTTTATTTGATTTATGCATTAAGTTCATTATTAAAAGATAAGGTAAATAACCAATATGTGGATAAACAGATGCATCAATACTCCACAAGATATTTGCATTCTGTAGGTCACTCGAAATTTGAAGATGAATTTTAGTAAATTTTTCTTGGATACTAATGTCATCTATATTTATATGGTTATCACTATTCCATGAAGAACCATTATGATTTTGTGCTTCAATTAAATCAGATTTATTTTCAAGATGTAAGAAATCTTTATCGACAAAGTTTATTTTATCATTAGTATTCGATGACTCGTGATGATCAGCTGCCATTTAAATAATAGTCTATCGAGAATTTTCTGAAATGAAAAAAATTGATTTCTATGGTTTTGTGAGAAATTTTTTTCTTCATGAATTAGTTTCTTCAGTCAAATTTTTTTTGAAATATATGTCACTTTTCCTTCTAATTAGAATTGTCGATATTTTTCAGGAATGGAAGAGATAAAAAAATTCAACAAACTGTCTTCGTTCTCGGAGTGCTAGAGGTAGTGACCATGAGTCAGGGATGAAGAAAGAAACCTACCGTGTCCTGGCCTCGCAATGTTGCCAGGAAGCTGAAAGACATTGGTGGAAAGTCAAACACTTTGAGGCAAGGAGCTAATCAAGAGATCTGCTTTTAAAAGTTCTTGACAATTCTCTATGCACACAAGTTGTGCTGTAGTATGTCTTGCAAACGATCATGTCTACAACAACAAAAAACACACGTGCTTCTTTTTTAAGAGTGAAAGAAAAAGAATTCTTTATTCAGAAAGGTCTGATTATTCGTGTTGACTTAAGCTGACATGAAAAAAACATAATGCTCCCAGTTCGCCGATATCAACACGAGAGAATCGTTGACATGTTAAAGGTTCCACTGAACCTACGAATTCCTGTTACTAATCTTGTTTTAGTGTCACGAACAGTTGACTTCGGTAATAGTTCAATAAAACCAGTGTTTAAAGTGTCCATTGCGCGTAGATCATCCACAACTTTTGCCGTACCAAAATATGGATGTTCAATAACTTCTCCTTTAAAATGATGTCCCAAAGTGACACATTCAAAACCATTTATAATTGAAATATGACATTGGTCGAGAACGAAATTGTACATTTCTTGACATTCAATTTCTTGTTCATGACGAATATCATGAGGAAATTTCCACTTACCATCAATTCGTATTGGATGCCATGGGGTAATAATTAAACCATTATCAAAAGTAACCATAGATGCTTTACCTTTGGCACACATAATCTTAACAACATAAGTAACAGTAGCTTCTACACCATCTGGAGTTCGAAGAACGTCACCTCGGCGAATATCTTTGACAAGTTTCGTTAATCCATTTGACAACAAAACAGTGCAATTTCCATAAAAACAACCATCACCACCATTACCACCATCGTCATCACTATTATTATCTGAATATGGCTGTGTATATCTTTCAGAACAGTCGGCTGAGCAAAATTCCACATGACCAGAACTTCTAGGAAAAGACCTATTACAGCTTTTACAAGCGATATTTCTTTCGTGTACAATTATTCTGGTTTGAGAAGCAGGTAATCTTGTCCTTATTTTTATGTCATTACCTCGACTAATACTAATAATATTTTCAAAATCGGTTGGGTTTATAGAAATATCAATAAAATTATTATTTGATAACATAAATTGCTCAAATTTTTGTTTGCAGTCATTTAACTGTTTTTGCCATTCGTAAAGATCTGTTTCAACATAATCATTGCCAGTTTGATTTGATTTTAATTCGTTAGCCATCAATGTAAAATTATTCTTCAATTGGTTTTTTTCTTCATTTATCATATTAATTAGACGTGTTTTAGATGCAGCTGCTGTTGCTTGAATATTTTTTATCATATCTTTTTCCCATGTATCGATTTTTTTCAATAAGTGTAATTTTGTACTATTTTGATCATCATGTTCACTGAATAAACGTTGTCTTAGAACATTATGTTGTTCTATAAGACGATCGAAATCTTTTTCAATCAACTGGCGATGTTCTTGATGATGTGGTTGACAAAAACGTTGAGAACAACCAGTACACATAATACTACTTCTTTTCTTTTTATTCGTTTGACGACATGTAAAACATTCATTGTTTGTAGCCATTTTAATGCAAATATCTACATACAATAGGATGTTGCTGTTATGTAACCGAATTCAAGAAAAACAAGCTTTCAGCTTAATCTCTACCGAATTAAAATGCGAAACACGATGAATTCATTTTACCCTAAACGAAGGTCCAACCGACATTAATAATATTATCTGTGAGGGTCAAGTCTACAAACATATACAACCATATCCGTTCTGTCCATCTGCCACGGCTAGTGATATAGGCTATGGATAGAAGGTGGTTTACGTTTCTCCGTACATACTTAAATGGTCATTTATAATCATGTTTCACAAAAGACTTTTTTTTTCCTATTACTCAACTTTTGTTCAAGTATGGAGTGTATATTATCCTTGACTCTCTAACTTGTTTGATTGTTTTCTTAATCTGAAAGTTAAAACATTAAGTAGAAAGATAGAAAAATGAATGTCTTTCTCAGTCTATCTCATATACATGTCGACATGTAATTTCGATTTTTGAAACGTAAATTTATTCGCTTCAATAATTATTTGTTTAAAAATTTATCAAATTTTGAGCCTCTCCAACTACTGTCACGAACTAGAAACGCTAATACAGAAAATAAAGATCGATAAATTTCAATTAATGAAGAAGAAAAACGACAAACTACGAACACCGATTGACTTCTGTTTGATTTGTGCACATGACTCAAGTCGGAAAAAAACACACTGCTTCTTTGTCAGCCAATGAAAAAAGAAGTTGCATGATGTTCGCTAACTTACACCAACAGAAAAATAATAAAAACAATACTGTGCTGCTTTGTTTTTAGGTAAAGCTTCCATAATATCGTGAGTAACTATGCCAGGGCCTTGGTTGTCCACAATGTTATAAAAGCTCACTTAAAATGAAAGCAGCATAATGTTCCATTTATTATTTTTCTGCAAGTGTAAGTCATAACAAACATCATGTTGCATTTTCTCATTGGTTGATAAGGACACAGTGTGTTTTTACCTGCTTGAGTCATCTGCATAGAGAAAGTAGAAGTTGATCGATGCTCGTATTTTCTCTTTCTTCACTCTTCATGACATAGGCGATAGCAGCTCAAATTTGTGCCGAAAACGCTTAGAAAATGAAAAAGATACTGCGTACTGTATTCAGTATCATCAAGAAAAAGCGTTATATCAATATTCAGATGAGGCCAACGTGAATCAACAAATGCTGCTACAGAAGCTACAGTAGAATCAACATCAAAACACAAGATAACTGTGAAAAAAGACAATGTACATCAAGTACTGATGATAGAAATCGATGAAGAAGAAAACATGATCTTTGTTGGATTATCTCCATCTCGAAACTGCTGTTTTTATAAGTTAGTTGCGACTAAGAAAAACCTAAAGTCAATAATACCATAAAGTACTAAAAGAATGAGATTATTTTTCTATGCATTCTGCTTTGAGGTGAATGTTTTTGAGTCAATATTGAATTCTCGAAAGCATCATCTTACTACTTAGGAGATATGTGATAGCATGTCGTTAGTTATACGACATAGAAAGAACAAAAAGAGTTCATTTCCCTGGTAGTTATTAGTGAACTAAATCGTTGATATAATCATGTGAAGGTAGAGCCAGGTCTTCTCTTCGCCTAGACCAACATCCACATATTGTCACTGAAGAAGAGAAATTTATCCAATATTAGGCTTGGTTCTTCTCTAAAACTATATTGAAAGTGTAGTTCAAAATCAGTACCTCGTCATCCGTGTCATCGTTAATGAAACTTTATGACACTCTTCAAAGAGTTTGAAAATTCATCCATATGTAATAATTTGTTTTTTCACGTTTCTAGAATATCAATCGAGAACATCGTTTCTGGAGATACCTCAGACTATATTTCAGAAGTTGTTTTGAACGTTTTCGAGAATTTAGTTTCTTTTTTTTTATGAGAGAAGTACGTAAAGTTTCGGAGCCAAAATCAGAGTGTTGACCTTCAGAACTCTATAAATTCGGACATGAAAGTTAAAAACGATAGTTGCTGATTCCGCCTCTTGAAGATTTTTCGAAGTATCTGTGGTAAAAATTTTAACTCAATCGAACAAAGTTAGAGGAAGGTCGTAAGGAGCCATGCTTCAGAAGCGGGCGTTTCCCTAAATAAAAAAAAGGAATCTATTAAACTCAGTAACTCTGTAATACCAAACTATTTAAAGTTGAAAATTGAGTTTTTCATCAAAAAAGAGGGGATATCGTTAATTCGGATTGTTTTTACGCTACTCCATTGATAACGATGGAAAAATACGTACTCATTCAATACTTCTTTTCTCGCCAAGTAACTTTCCAAGATTCAAACTTATTTTTGTTCTGTTCTGTTAAATAGCATGAACTGGTTAGAAGAATTTATCCTTGTTTTGCTAAGAAAAATGTGTGTCGAACCTTTCCACTGCTCTTCATGACGAGACTGTTGAGGCAAACGCTTGCAGTCGTTTGAAAAAGTAAAGAATCCAAAACAATATTTAATGTATCTAACAATAGAGCATAGTAGAATAAGATAAACTTTTTCGATGTTCAGATCGAAAAATTGAATCGATATCTTTCGTTGTTCACAATGAGGCCGGCACAACGGTGACTTTTTGTCGACATTATTTTTGTCGAAGACTTGAGATAATCAAAACAACGCAACAACAAAGTCCAATTACAATTCTCTTTGCATAAATGATTAGAAAATGAAAAGTAGATTCCAGTAAACTGTTAATGTCTTTTGGAGAATAGGGTTTCATAAGCAATTGTAAAATCAATTATTCCTTTTTTTTTATTAGATATCAATTTTACCAATAATCGATATTCAAATTTTCGTACTGCATTACGCAGTCGAGTGAAACTCGAATACCATCTGGTTTTATTAAGAATCCATTCAAAAGAAGAGCTCAAGATTCGTAAATATATAAGTGATCAAGTCTTATTTGTATAGTACTGTATCGAAATGTTGTTTTCAAATTAAGTACCAGTACATTGTCATATACCAAAAGAAAAATATCTAATATCTAAAAATTAGTATTTTCTAAGACTATTGAAAACACTTAGATAGGTTTATTTGATGTCTCGAATTCTCCTTGTTTTCGTTCACGTGCCATCAATTGTTGTTGTTGTTGAGTAACAACAAATTTTCGACCAAGTACTTGTTCAGCTTTATTCAAGGCCGTGGTAACTAAAATAAGATTGAGTTTTTTAGTTAAATTCAAGGACCCATAGCGTTGTAACCAGGATTTGGACAGTGTGGAGGAGACAGCTGAGTTTAGCTGGCATGGCTTCGATCGGTGGAGATTCAGTCCTCTTTCTGGTTACACCACTATAAGAAATACTAACTAGCATGCATATATTGATTTGTTTCATTGCCAAGTTGATGAATAATTTCATCGCCGTCTTCCAATGATTTATTGATAGTTGTAACTTGATCTTGAAAAACAAGTAATTGATGTCTCATTTGATTTAATTGATCAACAATTATTCTTTCTTGTTCATTATTATCAATAATTTGTGGTATACTAGAACTTTTTTTAATTGTTTCTAATGTTTGTTCATTTGTACTTGATATCATGATGGGTTTTGAATCATTTTGTCGTTGAAGTTGTTTTCTCTTACTTTTTCTCATATTACAACATAAACAACCATGATATACATCAATTTCATTCATTTCATTAACAACCGATGTTAAATCTTGATTCATTGAACGCATTTTATCATTAGCTAAAGATAATAAAAGATTTTGATTATGTAAATTTTCTTTTGTATCAAATGCAAGTTTTTGTTGTTGTTCAAGTGATTGAACAACATTTGATGTAAGATCGATTGTTTCACGAAGAATTGCATCACGACGATGAAGCAATTCAAGTTCATGTTCATTTGACATAAATTTTGTTTGTTTTTTGTTTCAAATAAATATTGAATTGACAGAAATAGTCTAATAAAAAACATTTTATTTTTGAATTCTCTGAAGATTTTTTGTTTGATTATTAAAACTGCGCGAATTTTTTTCTTCATAAAGACGAAGGCATTCATAATTTTTACTTCTGTATGACTTTTAATAGAATGATCTACTTGTTCACAACATATATCATACTTGTTTTTCATTAAAATTAATGCATTTGATGTTGAACTAAAATTTCTTAGCAATATTTCCTAGACTGAAACGATAGGTTATACAAATGAAAATTCATGTGTGCCTGTCTGTAACACAATTACCAAATGGTAACTATGGTACACTTACACCCACATCCTCAGTTGAAAAAACCGAACAGATTATAAATTGTTTCTCTTGAATGCACAAGAATGAAGGAAATTTTGGAAAGAAAAATGTACAAAAATGATAGATGAAATATTTTATCAATCACAATTCTTCATAGGAAGCTACATGACATCTTTGTAATTATGGCGGATCATGAAATAATAGTTTTATTAAAATCAAGTACGAAAGTTCATGCATGCTAATCTTGCACATTCGTTTTAGCACTAGTTTTATCTAGAGAGCTGAAACTTTGAAAAATTAAAGATCATATTTATATATTTATATATGTATAGTAATCAAATTATTACTTTTTAAGTTATGTTGATATTGTAGTAAGAGTTCTTTAATTTTGTTCGATGACTGTGTATCTACTTCGTTTGATATTGATTAATCAAAGACAGGAACTGCAAAATCATTTTTAATATTGACATCTGTATCATATTAGAGTAGAAGTTTGACAATTAAAAAAATGATTGCAAAATTTCGCTCCATGTTCTAATGCCCATTTAACATTAATTTGTTATTGTTTGATCGATCATTAGTCTTGTTTTTATCTCTTTTCGTTCTCATTCTTCACAACTTACGTTCTGTTCACCAAAGTTTTATATATATTTTTTTCTTTTATATAACGTATTTTCAGTGGAAATAGTAATTCAAAGAAAAAAACTAAAAAAAGAGCAAAAAATATGGATTTGTAGTATTTATGAATTACGGTTACATTTACTATTTTGAAACTATTGTCCAACAGATAAATACAATTTAATGGATAGACATATGGGGCCATAGTGAATTTCAAGCTCTATTAGAATATGTCATCACGTTTTTTAAAAGTTATTTCTGAATCTATAAAAATCTTCAGAAGTTATTTGTTTTTTTAGTGGATAAATGCAAACGAAAATGCAAATAGACAGAGTGATAGAAAACTCCATACACTCTCAGAGTATGCCATTATTTTTTAGAAATCCGTTTTTATCGTAACGATGTAATTAAAATAGGCACTGCAACTATTTTTTCCGAAGTCTATATGTATAATTGTTTCTTTCTTTTTGGTTGCTTGCTATTGACCTTAAAGATTTCTTATTTCGATCGTTTTTTCCTTTATTTCCAGTGTTCCTGTTGAAATGATAATCACAAAATGTAACGGACAAAGCCTCTATGCATGCATCAAGAACGAAGAAGAACAAAACACACGAATTTGGTTGCATTATAGTCATTCATAGAAAAGAGAAAAAAAATGAAAAGTTATCAATCGAATTATAAATGGTTGTTGTTTGTCTTTCAATGTTTTTCTTTTTGTTTGCCTCTGGCTTCATTAGAAAAGAACGATGACGGTAACAAAGTATTTCTGGTTGGTTACTTCTACTGTTGTCAACATTTTCTTGTTGTTGTATGCTTCGATGTGCATTGCATTAAGCTCATAAGTGTCTTATTTTTTCATTCGTTCTGTCTGCATGCACATAATTAAGGATGTGAGTGTGGGTGTCAGACAGAGAAAGTAGAAGAAGCTAAAAACTTGGCAGAAAGTCGAACAGATTTTCAATTTTTGGAGAAAGCTAGTCCTGCTCCCCTTTCATGCTCCTAATCGGCATGCCTGCTCACGTCTACATCCACATTCTACATATTCTCTTCTTTCTAAACATTTTCTCTTATCGAATTGTATTCTTCGCTTCTCTCCTAGCTTGCAAAAAAAGTCTCCTACTATGTCGATCTGTTATGTCACTAAGCAAGTTCTAAATGCATAGGTTAGAATCTATTTGGAACCATTGTAATGTACTTCACTCTAAGATTGGAATTCAACGAAGATTGTTCTTACAAGGCAGACTATATGCGCCATCGCAGCTAGACTGTAATGTATTTGAAAGAGGACATTATCTTCATTGGAGGTTTATTAAATTACGTTCATTATGGATGGTGCTCTTACTAATAATTACATTCGTTCTGATTCATTGGAGTTTTTATAACCCCTGCATATCACCAGCAGGTGATCGAAAAAAATTAGCATTCATGGTAAAAGTATTCGACAAGATCATGACCGAGCTTAATGTTGATCATTGGATTGATTATGGAACATTACTGGGTGCTGTGAGATATCACGATATTATTGCGTGGGATCACGATGCCGACGTGTCTTTTGATCGAAGATTTGCGTACTTGCTCCATAACGGTGGTTTAGCACAGAAGATTGCCAAGGATCGATATAATATTCATTTAAATGCAGCAGTAATGCTCTATGAAGGGATGCAAGTTGATATCTATAGTTGGAATAAGATCAGATTGCCCAATGGAAATTTCATATACACGAAAGGCGCGAATCGAAATCCCGAGTTTTGGGAAAAACATTTCAATGACTTTAATGCCAGCTTTGTGGAGAAGACCGTTTTAATCCCATTTGCTGGTGAAATGGTCAAAGCTCCTTACCCTACATTGGAATTTATCAAGCAGCGTTATCCAATGTCATATAATAAAATGATACCGTTCAAATTGTCATGTTATCTTCCTTGGAACATTCCCTTTTGGTGGATGTGGGTGTAGGTGTGGGCAAAAGTAACATTCACACTCACATCCTATGTACTTCGGGAATAAAAAATTAGGCGATTTGGAGTCGAGGAGAAAATTTATTTGACTTTTTAAGATCTATTTTGCTTGAGAGTGACGGAGATTTTCCTTCAGTTATGCTGAAGAAATTCTAGAAAACAAGAATTGTGTTCTTCTAGAGACTTTTCGTCTTAATTACCTACACACATTTTAATGAGTATACGTAAAAAGAAGAAGATGACGTTGGCTGTGAGCAAAGTGTCCATTAGATTTTAAAAGTCAAACTTACAGTAATTAGGACCGAATATAACACACAGTTGCAAACTGAGTTTTGTCATACTAAAAGATACTTTCAAGAAGAGAAAAACAAGAATGTGATGTTATTTTTTAGGGTGTGGGTGTGGGTGTGAGTGGGTGTGGGTGTGAGTGGGTGTGGGTGGGTGTGGGTGTGAGTGGGTGTGGGTGGGGGTGGGGGGGGGGGGTGGGTGTGGGTGTGGGTGTGGGTGTGGGTGTGTGGGTATGGGTGTGGGTGTAGGTCTGGGGTGTTGGTGTGAGTGTAGATGAATGGTTACACGACACCCACACCCACACCACACCCACGCCACACCCACACCCACATCCACACCCACACCCACCCACACCCACACCCACCCACACCCACCCACACCCTCTTCAAATGATATTAGCTATTTCGACAATAGCGATGCATTATATTAAATATTCTTTATTACCAATAGATTCAACAACTTAGTTTTTCTAACAAATGATCAAGATAATATTGCTGCTACATCAACATTTGATGATTCAAATAAAGCTAATGCAATGGATACACAAATATATAAAAAAACCAACAACATTACGTTCATTATCAACATCAGCAACACATAATAATATTAAACAACCTTCAACAAAGTATTTTATTACAAATACTGACGATAAAATATCAACAGCAATAAATCGACCGATGAATTATTCACTTGATTCTGTTTTTAATTTTACTTTAGAATTAGAACAAAGATCAACAGATGATATTCAACGTCGACATACAATAAGAACAAATGATATTGATCCATTATTATTAAATAGTTTAACTGATGAAGAAAATCAATTAAATTTTTAATAGAAAAAACAAATGAATATGATTCTTCTATGAATTCTATTGATGATAATAGTACTCAATCAATTGATTTAGAAAATAATAAACAAGAAAATTCATTAGGATATGATCGATTACAAAATAATTCAATTAATAGTCAAACTATTGAATTTGTTGTTTACAAAGAAAAATTAAAACAATTATTATCATCAAAATATTCATCAAATTTAATGTGTGTTTTTTTCCGATTTTTCAACACCAATACCAATGATTCCATATATTTTTTCTCAAGATACAATACCATTTAATACAAATGGTAGTCATCTTATAATATGTGTACATGGTTTAAATGGTAAATCTGTTTTTCTTATGTCATCATCAAATCATTCAACAACATTAGATGATATTGATGTTATGGTTAAACAACTTATTGAAGAAATTGATATACATATTGAACGTTATGGATTAAAACCACAACGTATTAGTTTTATTGGTCATTCATTGAGAAATTTAATAATACGTGCTGTTGTTAATCATCAACGTTTTGAGCCATATAGACCATTACTTTGTTGATCAAGATAACATACAATCATCACCAATACTTAAATCTCATACTAATCAATCATTTGGTCTATTTCCCAATCAATCTGATTCAGATTTAAATAATATTAACTATAATAAATTCAATTCTTCATATTTATCAACACCAATAAATCATCAATAAGTCATCATTCATTACCTAATGTTTTATTAAAACGAAGTAATAGTAGTATACCAACAACAAATTCAAATCTAATTAATTCACCAATTGTTCCAAAAGAAAAAGAATTTTTTTTTTATGTTCAACATCAGATAAAAGAAATGATGAAATGGTATATGAATTATGTATGAAAAAATTTTTCTCTCAATCTATCTAATATTACTCATTATGAAATATTTATTGCTCATATACGTACTCAAACATAAATAGTCTATTAAAAATTAATGATTAAAAAGAAAAAAAATATATCTTGAAATACAAAAATTTGATTGGTAACAATTTAATTCAAATGAAATTGATAATCATATTGAAATTATTCTTGCAGCTGATGTTATTTATGATGATAATTTCACTGATATATTATTTAATGTATTTATGAAATTATTTTCAGATAAATTAAATCTTTATTCAATTTATATAACAATTGAAGAACGAAGTAATTTTTATCTTGATACATTATCTATTCAATGTCAAGCATATGAATATTTCCTTGAAAAATTAAATCAATTGAAAATTCACACACACATATGATGGTAGTACATTATCATCTTTTTTTACATAATTATTGTTCTTATGGGTTCTATCTACGATATCTTTTGATTAAAAATATTTTTTATTTTATTTATTTTTTTTGTTGTTCTTCAAATGATATTAGCTATTTCGACAATAGCGATACATGACATGATATTATTATATATTCTTTACTACCAATAGATTCAACATTTAGTTTTGAAATATTTAATCCAAATATTAATTTACCAATTCAAGTAAAAGCTCAAACACAAACAAATCTTGAAAATTTAATTATGAAAAATATTATACCACAAGGTAAATCTAATATATGATCTGCAAATGAATAATGGAAAGCACTACCTACAAAACAAAAATTTGCAATTGATGCTGATACATTTAAAGGTCTTTTGAAATGTAAAGTCTATTTTTACTCATGAAACTGTATCAATTGATAGTGAAATTACACTTCAAGTTGCAATCAAAAATAATTTTCCATTAGTTATTGAATTTAGTGAATTATTAACATATTTTAATTTAAACGAATATGATGGTTTAGCTAATGTTACTAATGCTGAACAATTAAAATTTTCTTTAGGTGAACAATGAATATTAACTTTTTAATTTTGCACCAAAAAATGATCATGTTCAACTATTACTTGAAATTATATCTGTTTCATTAACTTATGGTATGACAATGGTGAAACAGTTTATGTTTTAATTCATCTTTTCAATAAATATCTCTTACACCTAAAGGGCGAACAAAAGCTGGTCATATTCTATGGGAAAATTTACCAATTAGACGAAAAACAAATATCATTATGAGAGCAGCAGAAGTACAATTAACTGTTGAAGATCAATTACCTGTACTTCTCTATGAATCTTATCCTGTGAAAATTAAAATAAAAAATTGTGAAAATGTTGATATACATCCAGCAACTTTGACTTGTACTTGTTCAACTTCAGATGATAACTCTCAAACATCGGATGATATTTTTCTTTTCGTATTCAATAACGGAAAATAATACTGAAACAACAACACATTTATGTTCAATGAAATTTGAGAAAATTAAAAAAAGATGCCGAAATTGATCAAGATTTACATGTACGATGTAATAATAATCGTTCTCGAGATGTTACTATTCGATTGTTTTATGAACAATTAAATTTACATTGTATGAAAGAAATAATTATTCAATCAGCTGATGTTAATCCATTTTTAAATTCAATTTCAAACAATGAGAATGATGATGGAACTTCTTGCTTCATTACGTGCTCAAGAACCATTTATTTTAATGATTGATACGAAATGTACATCAACTTTTACTATATTTAATGTTTTTATTAGAGATTAAAAAGAAAAATATATATATTGAAATACAAAACTTTGATTGCTGATGTTATTTATGATGATGATTTAACTGATGCATTATTTAATGTATTTATAAAATTATTCCAAGATAAATTAAATCTTTATTCAATTTGTATAACAATTGAAAAACGAAGTATTTTTTATCTTGATACAGTATCTATTCAATGTCCAGCATATGAATATTTTGCTTGAAAAATTAAATCAATTGAAAATTCATTTTCCATTATTAATTATCGAAGAAATTAATACAAATTTAAAATCTATAAAACAATGTACAACAATTTATAAACGAACAAAAGAATTAGTTCTTTGGCATATTTATCATTCAGAAAGATATTCATCATAGATTTTCATCGTAATGAAACAAATGTATCTAAATGTGGATATCAATTATGGAATGGTGCTTTACTTTTTTGTGATTATATTTTAACAAATCAATCTCGATTTTTAAATGAAATAATATTAGAATTAGATACTGATATTGGTCTTTGTAGTCTTATTGCTAGTCGATTTGTATCGATAATTATTTGTATTGATCATGATTTTTTCTACACAATCTATCTCTTTTTTGTTTCTTTTCTTTCTCTAAAAAATCTTTATTTGTGTGCTATTTTATGCCTCCTTCCTTTCGTTTTATATATAAATATATATATATGGAATGTTTTTATGCAGAGCCCTGATGAGTGTTAAAATTTTAAATAAATAACACGAAACGCGTCGGCAAAAATTTAACTCTGCATTATAATAATTTATTTATATTTATTTTTAATTCATCTATCGACTCAATCGAGTGCTGAAAAGCACAAATTGAGATTAGCAAATTGAATACTTTCTTTTCAACGGAGAAAGTTCAATTTGTTTTCAATTGAAATCTCAATGTAATAAAAAAATTGATTTTCTTCCGTCAGAAGCGTTAAAAAGCTAATATTTAGCATTGTTACTATGATTTCGCAGAAACTAAAACAGCTGGAAACTTGATTTTTTCAGAAGTGAATGGCCATCTTTAGACCAACAAACAAAAAACAACTATTAAAATCAATTGAGTAGAACTCGAGTTATAGGCATTTTTCTTTTCGGAATACAACGGTACAATGGCTGTGCTCTTCACTCATATATTTATAATCGATATGATAAAATTGTTAATGAAAAAAAATTCAAATGACGTTAATGATTTATCTAATCAAATGATCAATGGAAAAGATCTAAATATCAATTATCTGCTGATAATATGCATTATGTCCTACTTCAGATGATCTACACAATGATCATAAAGAGAAGTAAGACGTTAATTTTATATAGAGATACGTTGATATAATGATAGCTGTTCAACAATCACAATGCTCGAGGGAGAGTAAAGAACTTTTTTCAATCGGTTTAAAACAGAATTTTTGTAACTATGGATGAACGCTAAAAATTTGTTTTAACGAAAAAAACGACTATGTATGCGTGTCTAGACGATTTTTCTTTCCAAAAAAAAATCAACCATTCAAGTTTATTTTACATTGTTCGTCGAATAATTACATGACCTGCCGGACATAAATATACACAATGATCATTCGCACATAAATTAAGGTCATACATACAGACATACATATATATGTTGGAGGAGAAATTAAAATTCAGGAAAATTTAAAATTTTCCTAGAAAAGTTAGGAAAACTTAAAATTTTAATATTGATATTTTAATTTCTCCTAGGAGAATTTAAAATTTTCCTGAATTTTAATTTCTCCTCCAACATATATATGTCGTAGTAGAAATTAAAATTTCAATTTCTACTAGGAGAAATTGAAATAACCGGCGATTTTAAGTTGCACTAGTGGAAATTAAAATTTTAATTTCTACTATAGAAGAATTTTAAATTCTACTAGAAACTTACACTATAGAATTATGTGAATATCTCCTAGAATAGAAATAAAATTAAACCTTATGTGATCACTAGATTATTCGATTTAATGGCATAAACAACTTGTAATTCCCCAATAGTAACTAATTTAAAGTGTTTATGGAGCTAGAATTTAAATAGCTTCACCTCAACCACCTTTTATTACCGTATATGATGTCATTATAAGCAGCTTGTGTGATAACAAACTTTGAACGAAATCTTTCGCCTAAAGATTCTATATGTTTATCAAATTTCGAATAAAATGGTTCCATTTCATGTAATATTCAAGTCTTTTTTATTTTGATACTGACGCGAGAACTTCAAATTAAATATCAAAATCTTTTTTCTTTGCGTTCTACATATTGTATCATTCGAATGAGGGTTAATTTTATTTTCTATTCTAGGAGATATTCACATAATTCTATAGTGTAAATTTCTAGTAGAATTTAAAATTCTTCTATAGTAGAAATTAAAATTTTAATTTCCACTAGTGCAACTTAAAATCGCCGGTTATTTCAATTTCTTCTAGTAGAAATTGAAATTTTAATTTCTACTAGTAGAATTTTAAATTCTACTGAATTTTAATTTCTACTACGACATATATATATATTGAAAAAATGTCTGTACAGAATAGATTGAATAGAATAAGAATGAAGAAGATTACATTTGAATCATTACCTAATGAACTTTTACTGATGATATTTTCTTATTTATCTTTCATTGATCTTTGTCAATTGTTTCTTGATTTAAAAAATGCTCGTCTTGAACGTCTTCTTACTTCTAAATATTACTCATTAGATCTTAGTTCAATATATTTTGATCAATTACGACAATTTCTCAGTAGTAGTAACGATAAAATAAATCGTTTGACTACTTTGATAGATACAGTTGTAATTTGTGATTCATCTGCTGGTTGGATGTTACTCAAACATTGGATAGAAACATTCATTGATACCGAACTATCAAACACATGGTTACCATCGATCAAGAAGCTTTTTATATTAAATGCAGACTATTTCCAACATTACTTTATTAAATCATTTTTTCTACCTTTGATTTCTGTTAGCAATACATTACAATATTTGCATCTGGTATTTGAAACACCTACGTTCTATTATCCTTCAGTACTCTCCGAACTAATTCGTCATCATATATCAGTTCATACTATGATATTAGAAGTTGAAAACGGTATGTGATTATATATATTCTAGAATAAAAATTCAAGATGCGACTGACTAAATATAATAGCTATAATAATAGAGTATGATTTTCGAACATATTATTCAAAAACTCTTATTTTATTAATAGATTTCAAATAATCCTTTAACTTAGATTGTATTTATGTTTTAAATTAAAAAATGTTATCGAAAGAAATATTTAAAAACAACATCTACATCAATATAGAATAAGTTAAAATAATAAATTATATGTCAGTTATAATTTAATTGAAAATTTTTGTTTATTAATATGTTATGTTTTCTAAAATCTATGATATTTCAATTCGAAACGAGTTTTCATGAAAAAGACAATGTTCTATTTCAATAATGAATTAGAGATTAGAGATTATCTCATGGATATAATTGATCCTTCTTTGTATTTTTATATATCATATGGAAAAGAATACAACTTCTCGAATTGAGAATATAAAATTTAGTTGAAATAGCTTTTCTACTCATTATTTATTGATTTTACTTATAGGTCATGAATTCTATCCGAATGAGCTGAAGAAAGATTTACACAAGATGGAATCATTATATTGGCCAAATACAGTTCAATTAACATTAAGTATTCAATATCCCAGCGAACTTGTTCTTCTATTGAAACGTGACGCTCTACCTGCAATTGAACATTTAAATATTACCAATGAGCAAATACATACTGTTTTCCCATTACGTCGATATATACCAGTATCAAATATTCATCTTTGTGATTATAATCTGCGTGAAATAGCTGATGGTACTCGCTTGCGATCTTTACTCTTACGTTATTTATCTCTCAGCGATATTATTCTATTGATTGGCTCATTAACCATGCCTTTGCTTGAAAAATTAATACTCATTGATTTGTATGATGATAGTAAGTTATCATTTGATGTTTTTCTTCGCTTTTTCAACTGGGATTATTCCAGTTCATTTCATATGATAGATCGAATCATAAATTGAACTTTAGAGATGAAAGATAGTTGTGATATATATGAAAAAAAAAACATTTTTCTCGATAATCTAATTCATTCTTTTCCTTATTCATCATATCGAAATAAATTCGAAAGTATTTATATGAATATATTCTCTTTCTCGTAGAGAAGAGTCTTGCAAACATAAATTGTCTGCTTGATTGTATGTCCGCACAAGGTCAAAAAAACATTTTATTGATATTTTCTATAAAACTTAACCACAGGGTAATCGGAGTCGAGGAACTCGAATCTGATGTTAGTTTTTCAAAATTTTTTTTGCGGATCATTTTTTTACACAAAAAACCACTTTTTACAAAAAAATTCTTTTTTATAAGGGTTGACCGAAGGGTAATCGGGGTCGACGAATCCGAATCTGATGTTAGTTTTTTAAAATTTTTTTTGGATCCATTTTTTTACACAAAGAACCAATATTTTTACAAAAAAAAGTTTTGTATAAGGGTTGACAGAAAGGTAATCGAGGAGGAGGAATTCAAATCTGAAGCCTGTTTTCTAAAAATTTTTTGCAGCTCAATTTTTTTAATAAACGACAAGTTTTTAACAAAAAAATATTTGTTTTTATGAGGTTTGGTCAAAGGTAGTTAGCATCCACCAACTTGAATCTGACTTCGGTATTTTTAATTTTATAAATGAATAGCTTGACGGTAGTTTAGAAACACGATTTCTACGAGAAAGAGCTGGGCGAGTCTTTAGACGAGCGCTACTTGTTCATTTTACTATGAATTCTGTTTTGTTGTTTTTTGCAGCATTAGATCAGGTTGGTAAATTTCAAGAAGTTTGTAATTTTACCCATTTACCTTCTCTGCAAAATCTTCACTTTTCATTGTGTTTTCCTCAAGAAATGGAACAAGCATGGCAAATGAGTTCATTCCATCATAATGACGAATGGCCTTTTGATAATCTTGATTGTTATATAGATGAGAAGTGGATTTCTCCTGATGGCAGAATAGATTTAATGACGAAGGCATTCTTCGTCGTGTGCACACGTCCGATCAACATCATATTACAACACCAGCGAACTTTACACAATTATTGTTTTGCGACACATGTATCTGTCCCTCTTATTACAACTCAACGACGATCACTTACAATGACTTTTGATCAATTAGATAAACCTGAACAATCAGTCAAAACTTTGCAAGTAGTTGCAAGTAGTCGAGTTAATAAACTTAAATTGATATATCTGAATAAACAAGTAAGTTTCAAAAGAAATCTTATTTGATTAATCATTTTGATCGTTAGTTAATATAAAAATAGTTTATGTATTGAAGAGTCAAAGAATGTTTGAAAAACTTCTTAACTCACCTATGAAAACTTTATCTATTTCTTAGATAAACTCATCGATGACGTCAGATTATCTTTCTAATTGCAATTTGTTGCTTTATCATCTACGATCTATGTCTTTTGACTTTGAACGAAAATACATCAAAAGCACAGATCGTGTTTTTATCGTTAAACAAATACTTGATATTACACCAAATCTATCACACCTTAAAATTGACTGGGAAGATTTTCGTCATTGTTCAAAAACATATTCAAATATAAAACATTTACATCTCGTATTAGATCGAATATATCCCGAACCTAAAAAATATTTTAATATTCGTCGATTAACTCAATTAACACCTCATCTACATTCTCTCGAAACAAGCAATGCAAATATAATGTTCTATAAACATCTTCTTGGATTTGTTTTGAAAATTATTCGTCAATTTCATCAATTAGTGTATTTAATACTAAATAAGGATGGTCGTTATCCAGCCAAAGAAGAAATCAAAACAACGTTCAAAGAAAAATTAATAGCAACTGGACATAATCAATCATTTGATTGTAACAATATTCGAATAGAATTCTCTCACTTGAATGAACTATATATTTGGCTTTAATGTTGTAACATAGAAAATTATGTGTGATTAATAAAAATATTTTATACTAATAGAGATATGAAAAAAGATTTAGTATTAAAACAAAGTCAAATGTTCAATTTGAGCTCATGTTCTATCTGTTTTACTAAATTCATCATCAGAAAGTAAATATTCTGTTAATTCTACAATACAACAATTTTTAGATGGATTAATGATTGAACAATGGAATGTGGGTGTGGGTGTGGGTGTGGGTGTGGGTGTAGGTCTGGGGTGTTGGTGTGAGTATAGACGAGATGAATGGCTACACGACACCCACACCCATATCCATCCACACCCCCACACCCACACTCACACCCATCCACACCCACCCACACCTACATCCCTACTTTTCACTTCAAGTACGTCGTTTTCTCTTGCTTTTTGGACTGAATGTATAGGCACCACCTTTTTCGCTGAGAACTTAAATCAAATCCTTTCATCGAGCTGAACAGTTCATTGAAGATTGATACTGATTGAATTCAATATGAAGACAAAATCTTCGAATTGAGATAAGAATTGTACCAGTTTCTTTTTTTTTGTGTCTCATCAGTTAACATCTTCGTTCAAGTGAATTGAAAGAAAATGTGATATCTGTTATTGAACTCGACTTAGTCTAGCTCAAGACTATCTTTATTAAAAATGTATAAATAAAGTCTGTCTAATCGATATTTTAGATTTTGTACCAAATTAATTGAAGTCTTTCAATGAATGTGGAAGATCCTCCTCGGACACATCCGAGCACAAAACCATGGTATTCTTCAACAAACAACTTTCCCTGTTGACTACCGTAAGGCTCACTTGAACGATTGTGTGTTGTATGAAATTGTATTGCAATGATATAAGGAATTGGGTTGCTATAACTATATGCCTTTTGCTTATCCTGCTCGGAACCAATTCTCAAATGAACTCGATTGATTCGTTCATTTGCATCAAACTCAGTGACATTGAACGTATGTGATTGGTGATGCTTTTCATTAATAAGTCGCTCACCACGAGATTGACCTTGTCGAGGTTGTTCGTTGTTCCGAAGATTCGAAGATGAATAAGTAATTGTCATCGAATTTAGCCAATCCGACCAAGTAACAAATATCGAACTAATATAATGAGAAATGCTCAGTTGACACTTTTCAGAATCATCTGTCGAATAACCTCCATCACCACCAAATATTTGACCAAATTTTATTACAGTGAGATCTACCAATAATTCAACACAGTTTCAATTAAAGATCAATCAAACCAATACTCACCATTCAGTGATGATACATAAGGACAATCTATTAGTTTCTCACCTGGTCGATCTAAACAATAATTGTCCTTAAATTTCATCCGTTCGAAGAAGTCGAACGTGAAACTTCTTTGTTGAGTTTCTCGATCAAAGATATTCAAAGTACTTCAGGCAAAATGTCCTGTTTATCTCCATTAAATCGTATGATTTGCCACAAAGTCTGATAATTATCGAATTTGGATTGAATTTTTGTTTCATCTAATTGAGCCTGCGTGATGGAGTCGTTTGTTATTCCATCTTGAATCTTTTTACTAGCGACATTTTGAATTAGACACGATTTGTTTTTTGGAACATCAATCAAATGAAATTGTTGATTCACATTATTAGGGTGTGGGTGTGGGTGTTGGTGTGGGTATCAGTGTGGGTGTGGGTATGGGTATGAAGTGTGGGAGTGGGTGTGAAGTAAATACTAACATGCAAAGCCACACACACCACACCCACTCACCCCACGCTAGAGCCCATCGGTTAGGACCCGAACCCGGTCGGATCCGAATTCGAGTCTGGAAATTTTCTATAAAGCGGGTCCAGGTCGGGTCTGAGTCTAATGCAATTTTTGATGCATTTGAAAGCATGGTCACCCGTTACGGAATTTCATTTTTGCATACTGTAACACTTATATCTCATCAATGATATAAGGTAACGACCTGAAATTTTTATCATATATTGAGACAGTTTAGATCTATTAACAATAAAAATTTCATCGGTTTATATGCAAGCAAGGCTGAGCTATTAAAAAAATTCTGACCGTTACGCAATTTCAAAAAATGGAAATTCTTTTAGGGTGAGTGGAGAGTTAAGCATTTTACTGCGCAATCAAGTCACATACGACTAAACGCTCTGTATAGAAATTGTTTAGTTTTCCATAAACTTTCAGAATATTAGTTCATTTCTGAACAGAGTATAATTTCACCAAACAAAAACCTGTAAACATTGTCCGTTAGGGAATTTCAATCATTACCGAATTTCGTGTTTTTATCGATTTTTTTCATGGGGAAAGTTTGACATCTCAAAATTTCCAATTATCAAGATATAAATTTATCTTTTCCCCAATCAAAGAGCAGTATACAGACAGTTCTACTATTCGAGTTTGCCAGCTTCACTCACACAGCGAAATAACATTAAGAATTCTGTCTATTTTTCAGGAAAAAAATGAAATGTGGTAGAACTAAGTACTCTATTTTTTTGATAAAATTGGTCAAAGAATTTCTTTTTGGATGGTTGTCGGATAAAAAAGACGTTTATATCACTGGTCAACAATGTATCTTGGAGCTTGCAACATGTTTCATAAACTGCCAGTGGTGCTCTTTTGATTTCCGAGAGAAATTCTTTTATTTTTGTGAGTTTAAACTTCCTCGTGCGAAGGTGACCGATGTGCGGCCATGCCGATGAGAATATTTTCCAAAGTTTTACTGATCTTCAGTTTTCTCTGAAGAGCTAGTTGCTTTTGGTTGTTAGTGTTAAAAATAAATTTTTTGTGTTCTGTAGAACACATTCGTTTGGCCTCAGATGCAGACAAGATCAAGTTCGGGTAGGATCCGGGTCCAAAAATTTTCTATTTACTGGGTCCGGGCCCGAGTCTTGATCTGGTTCTGAAATTTTTTTCTAAAGACCCGTTACGGGTCCAAGAAAAGTTCAACAAAGCGGGTCCGGGTTCGGGTCCAAAAATGTTGGACCCTACGAGCTCTATTCCACATCTATATCCACACCCACACCCGCCCTGGTGAGTGGAGATATGGATGAAGCAGTTCTCTTGGAAAAATAGCCATTTCTATTAGAGAAAATAAATTTATCCTAGAAACATTCCTTACGAAGAAAAAATAAAATGATCCATTTCTCTCTAACTCTTTTGGACTTCTGCTTGTGAGTGGAGATATGGATGAAGCACTTCTCTTGGAAAAATAACGATTTCTAATAGAAAAAATCCATTTCTACTCGACGTAGTCGTTAAGAAAAAAGCATAAACTGATTCATTTCTCTCGGAGTCTTGTAGGCTTCTACTGGTGAGTGGAGACATGGATCGACTGATTTTCATTGTTATTGTTCTTTTTCGCTTGTAGTGGTGTCGTCGAATGAATGCGGCGTGTTTGTAGAAAAGCGGTATCGGTGTGGGGGTCGATGGAAGTGTTGGTATGGTTGTGGGTGTGCAGGAGTGGGTGTATGGAGATGGGTGGGGGGTGTGGTAGTGGGTGGGTGTGGGGTGTGGATATGGATATCGGTGTGGGTGTCGTTTCCACAGTCACACCTACATCCGTACTCCGAGCATGCATCGTATGTCATTCCTTGGTTGTTCTTCGATTCAAAATGGATTATGTATCTTGTTTGGCACCTTCGGATCATTTCGAACCGATACGTTGTCAAAGCCATCTGGTGAGTCCTTTGGCAGGAATGAAATCACGACAATGGTTCACTGGACACACATCTACACCCTTTAAATCTGTTCCACTGCACACCTATATCTTGTTATAATATTGAAGAGGAGTCATCATGATTTTATTTAGATTTTTTTACTTCTTCATCGATTCGAAGGGTTTTAATCTATTTAATGTAGTGCGATAATAGACTCTAGGCATGTGTGAAAAAAGCCGTAGGCAAGGAACAAAACGTTGTGTGATGCTTCGAATCTCTTATCTTATAATCTTATACATTCTTGGAAAGAAGCGCAACTGAGAAAGTTTGCAGCTGTCATTCACTCTTACTTGCTTCCTGTGCAACACGTTCGTTATTCAATTTAATTTAGTGATGGCTTTAGGTTGTGTCGTTGTTCTTCTCTCACTTTTTACCATAGGAACCGCTTTCGGTGAGTGAGACATGCCACAGTATCTAAAATCACTCTTCGTGTTCTACATAAAAAGATTGTTCGACTTGCGAACTCTGTGGTCATTTCATACCAGCAAATGGCTATGATTGTTATGAAACCTTAAGTGAAACAGTTATCTGCACGTGTCCCGACCAACAGTTTCGTGTCAACCAACGGTGCCGTAAGTTATTATCTCAGATTTTGCTATCTACACTATGTTTCAAAAGGACTCTGTGAACGCGAAAATATATGCGGTGGAGCTGGAGCCATTTGTGTTGAGCAACTATTTCCTGGAAATCACAGTTTCGGCTGCTTTTGTTCGAATGTTTCTGCATCGATCGGCCATCCATGCCCGGAAAAACCGAGTAAGTTAATATTGTTTGTGTTAGGAGCCTTTCTATTGAAATTTCAAGCGTTGTTTGTGAATATAATATTTTCGCCACGCTCATAGAAATTTCATTAGGCGTGATAGGAATCTATATAAAAAAAGCGTTTTTTGTGAGAACTTGTGAGCATTCTACCCAATTTCAGATAAAATCTTCCATTATTTTGTCAATGACAAAGTTAGTAACTGCTGAGACAATGCCATTGATTACGAAAACTTGGCATTTCTAATATATCGTACGCTTGAACCATGAGCTCCTGCATCACTGTAAGGAATCACAACATCGTAGCTCATCGAATGAGTTTTTTTACGGATACAGTCGATCAAAAATCCATAAGTTTCATGTAACAAATGTCAGTTATAACCGCGATGAGAGTTCAAGTAAAACATCATTTCGTCACAACCATTTTGTGACCATTCCATACTATATGAATTGCGTATCAGGCTAATACATAGATGCTTATTCGAACTATTTCCCCATTATGGCTCTTCATTCTGCAAAAGTTTCGTCTACT